ACGTATTTTTAAAAAATCTATGAAAAAATCCACTAATGCACTGGTGCATAAATACACACTAGCAAAGAATTCAAGGTATATAGCAATGTGCACTCATGTATTTCAAATTAGAATTGAGCTCATTGAAGGTAAATTAGAGGCTAGCATATTTTAAAAGTCCAAACACAATTCTCTACCCTTGCTTTGTCCAAAGTCATGGAAACAATTACTCCATGAACTGAAATAAAAAGTTCCAATCTGAGAGCAACCAAATATCACGATAGTGTTTAAAATGTTTAGATCACTGTTTTCACTAATATTGAAAACAGAAAATACTCTTAATCTCTAATTCTGGAATCTGTTTTTAACAAGTCCTTGAAATCATCCCATATGATATGGTTATTGGCTAACTCCCAGCCCCTATCAGAGATAGCCTTTCTTAAAGAGACACACATTGATTTTAGTTCCAACAAAGTAGCTACGCTCCTTTACATTTATGCATTTTAATTTTGTGTACTCTTGCTGAAATACTTTCCCATCCACCTCTTTGCTTAGATAATTTCTACCCATTTTTCAGATTTGCAGACAACCACTTCTAGGAAATCTTTCTTATCCTCTAAAGGTAATTGATGCCAACCAACCACAGGAACTATTACTGTGAAGAAGGAATCAAGTTCAATGTCCTCCATGGAACACAGGAGACAATTTAGGAAACCTGTGCACAATGGTTTCCTTCTTTTCTAGAACTGAAACATGGGGGTGCCCAAATCCTTAGGCTACAAAGTAGAGAAAGAAGCTACAAATAACTGAAGGGAAGAGGGACAAACGCCATTTCTTTCACATCTAGCAGAGGGAATAAGCTTTTCTATCTTAGAGCTTCTCATGTTCATTCTAATGTTTTAAAAGTAAATTATCATCGTCACATGGAAGGATAAATCTATATTTTGAAGTCCTCTTTTCTGTCATTTGTTCACAGAAAGCAACAAGGGACCACCTAATCAATAGGATCTGTTTTCTGAAACATAAGGAAAGGATCAGTTCCTGGGAATACCTTTACCATCAATGAAGAAATTGTTCAATGGAGATGGAATAAGTAGCTCTTCAAATGCTGACCCCTGGGGAGTAATGTAAAAAGAATGTCCACATGTGGACTTCATAGACACTCTGATATATAATAAATCTGTTTAAAAAGAAGTACATGGTGTCCCTGGAAATTGTTTTCTTAGATCTTTGTGCCAAGGATTTAGGTCCTGCAAAGTGTAGGAGGCATGTTTTTTTGCACTGGCCATTTTAGTATTCATGTCTCCTGTACTGCTTTCTAATAAGTTAAGAATGAAACGGGAGACTGCGTGCAGGAGTGAGAAATGCAAGAAAAGCAGTACTGTAAAATAAAAATGAATGAAAGTGCATTTCAACTTCCTTTTATTATTAACAGTCAAGAGAACAACAATGGCAATTTTACTGTTATTACTTAACATTTCACATTTACAAAAGGACTTTACCATCATTTTTAACATGTTATTTCTTGATACTTTTCTGACAGAAAGTAAGAATGCTGCTACTATGTTCAACATTATTATCATGTTATATTAAATTATTTGTCCAAAGATGAGGATAAAAATACAGGTTCCAGCACGATACCAAAACAGACTTTTATAGTAAGAATAATAATTTTCTTGGTTTTGGGGGAGACTAGACTACTGGTTGGCTAAATGGATTCTGCTTTCTTTCTGTCTTATAGACCACTTTTTCATTCCTATTCACCTCCATGCTATTCAACTTCTTGCTTTTACGTGTATCTCTTCTATAGTGTTTCTAAAATATAAAAAACCTCTCAGGAGAATGCCTAAAGACAATTACTGCTGACCATTCCTTTGATTTAACTTTGTTGCATAATTTGTGCATGTTACTATGGTTTCCGTAAGTGAATATTTGTGCTCTTGTCTGTGTCTAAAAGAAAGCATATTTGAGACGTGCTGAGAAATGTTTGCTCAAGCCAAGTGGGAAAAATGTTTGAAGACTCTGGAGCTCTAGCTAAGCTCAGGATTTGGGTATTTGTTAGTTTACTTGTTAGTTTGAGCAGGCAGTTATCCAGTCCATAAGCAGATCCTAAACAAGGAGGTGACTGTTTTCCAGTATTGCTATCATCCTTGCCTCCCTCCTATTAGTTTAGCAATTTTTCTGGGTCTAAACTTCATCTCTCATACTTCGGACATATTGTCAGGAGGGAGCAGTCGCTGGAGAAGGATATCATGTTTGGTAGGGTGGATGGTCAGAGAAAAAGAGGAAGACCCTTAATGAAATGGATTGGCCAAGTGGCAGTATCGATGGACTCAAGTGTGACAACAGTACTGAGGTTGGCCCAGGATTGGGCAGTGTTTCGTTCTGCTCTGCATAAGGTCGCTATGAGTCGGTACTGACTTGATGGCACTTAACAACAACAACAAAATGGAAGTGGGAGATTCTGCAATCCCCGAATGTTTTGTTGGATTTGGGGAGAATTTGGGTAATTTCTTGCTCTCTGAGAAACATTTCTTCATTTATTATTACATAGCTTAAATATTGTGTAAATCTGGCCTTTTTATCCATTTAGCCAAATAGGATGCCTGCATTTAAAAATGAAAACTAACAGCAGGAATCATCCAAATCAACTGTTGCTCTTTTCTTGTTTTTTTCAAGGAAACTGAAAATATGCTTTCACTTGGGTTCATGTAGTCATAGCTTGGACGGTGATATTTTCAAAAGCAGAAGTTCCCAGGGCACTAAAGAATGTAAGCAAAGTAGACATTTCTTTCAAAGCTATAGCTATGCCTGAATATAGAAAAAGGTTTGAAGCTCCTTGGATATAATCTGTCATAAGAACTTTTCTATATTTATATATATTGATGTTTTTATTTTTTTCAATTTGAGTCAACAGATGTTCATTTATTTTACTTCTTAGTCTGTAGATGATTGTATTCAACGTATGAAAATTATGGAAACAGTCTCCCTTCTCCAGTTCAGTGGGATTTGCCTCTTTGCTACATAGAAAAGTACAAAGGCTACAGTTGTTCTAATACTGGTAATGGTGTTACAAAAATAGCAAGATTAGATGCAATTTATTAAGTAGTGAATGTGCCAGAACATTGGAAAATATAATTTTATCTTATGGATACTCAAAAGACCTCAAGAAAATGATGATGTCATAACTCATCTATGAGATTATTACAAGGTTACATATCAGGGTTTGAATCCAGATTTCTATGATTTAAAATCTTTGCTTTCTTGCTAGACCTCTTCAGGTAGAGTGTTAAGTCAGGCAAGGTAAAACATTTTGAGTAGGGCGACCACAGTTTCTCTTCTATACCTGTTATCCCAGCATAATTAATAGCACCCTTTTCATCCTCAAAAGTGTTTCAGTATGGACAGTAACTTGGATGGTCTCCCTGTTTCTGAGCAAAATTTAAAATGGTATTGTTCTTAGGTACTGCTCATAATGCTTTAATTAATCATCTTGTCTTTAACAAAGGGATACAAACTGAACCTAGCCTGATATATTTGGGAAAACAGCTGAGTTTGTGAATGAATATCAGTTATTGGCTGGGGCTAATATTTTCCCTGTTCCCTAGTTTCTGTCTCCCTGTTATCTTTTTCTTTTCTCTCTTCCTCCTAGCTTCCATGTCTCTATTGATCAAACGTCAGAAATAGATTCTTGAGTTTTAGCTTCAGCTTTCATTCTGAGGAATTTCTGGAATATAGCTTGACCACTTATTCGGATGTTTAAACCACTGTTAACAGTGCTTTTATCAAGAAAAAAATCTAAATTAATTTGAAGACATCTCTTACTTATTTTTCTTTCTTTCTTTCTACTCCTTAATCTTGCTGCTACTATCACATTACCTCTTTACTACAACCAGAGTGGATAGGTGTCCGGGGAGCTTTCTCGCTGCAGTTTTTGGACAATGCTACCGCAGGTTTCGCTGGGGTAAGCCAGCTCAGAAATGCAGGATTTCAAGCACCGCCTCACATGTCTTTGCTCCTCTTATGGCAAATTGTTGGCCTGTTTTCTATTATTCTACAGACTTTTCAGGAAGTGGGAAGGAAGTAATTAAAATACAATGATGAAGTATATAACTGCTTAAAAGACATATGCAATAAGAAAATCCAACTTTCACTTTTGTAGGGTTTAAATGTATAGCTTTGATTTATGGATCCAAATTGTTCATTTATTATTTTATCTATACAGCTCTGGGCAATTTTGACAGTTAAAATTTAGTTTTATTGACCAGTGCAGTCACTGTGGCCACGAGGGGCCTGGTGTGCACAGCCTAATGCACTCACGAAACGATGCTTTTTGATTCCATGACTGAGTCAGATTGGGAATCATAACCGATGTAACAATAAGTTCCAAATCTCAGTGCCCAAGGCAAGAGGTTTGCTGTAAAACACAATCACCCTTTAAGGAGGGGAGGAGGAGAATCTTGGGTAGAAGTTTGCAAGCACAATTTAATGTGGCCGGAATAGGCCATGAATATGTCTGTCCATCCAAGCTGTGGAGCTCTGAGGGTGTGTTTCTTGAAAGACCAGGTTTCCCAGACTGAAAGTGAATAGGTAAAAATTCCTAACAGCAGCATGCATGTGAGTTATAGAGACAACTCACTAACCAGCCATTTTGATAGGAGAAAATTTGAAGTGGGAAAATTTACTAGTGTTAATAAACACTCTTTTACTTTTCAATTGCCAAAGAAAAGAAATTGAAGAATTCGTTTTGGAAGATATCTCCCTCTGTCTGGCCCAGATCAGAAACATAAACCAATGCAGTGATTTTAGGCCAGTTTTAATTTAGGCCTATTCGACTACCAAATTGGCTGCCTCTACAATGCTAATTCACTTTTTCACTCGAAATCCCCTGTGATACATAAACAAAACTCCAAAGGGTAACAAATCAATAAAGTGTCTAATTTGATTAACCATGTTTTTGAATGAATCAAGACAGCTCTAACCTGAAATAAATAGATGGATAAATAAATAAGTCCACTCACTTGTGAGTATTTTCCATGTCTTCTTTTCATCATCATAATACTGAACCAGATTGCTGGGGAGCCGGTCCGGTCCAGGAGGCAACCCTCCAACCAACAACAGCATTTTCTTGTTAGAGCGAATTCTTCACCCAAAACAAAGAGGAGATGAATAACCACATTATTGTAGAGTCTTTTTAGTGGCAACAAAATCATAACCATCAAAAGAATGTTCCTTGCTTGCAGATTTCTATTTCATTTTTTCCTGTTTCTTCTCCCATTCATGTCTCAACAATTTTTTGAACCAAGCAGAAAAATGATAAGGAGAGCTGCATATCCCCATACTCATGGAATAATAAGCTTCCTTTATGCAATTTGTTAGAGGTTCATTCTAGAACGACCTTTTTCTTATATTATCCCTTTAAATCATCACTCTTTACAGCTGAGTACACATGAAATGCTCTGGAGTTGTACTAAGGTTAAGCATTAAAGTTGCATGTCAAAAATCGTATTAGTCAAAATCATTATTATAAGCCATTCTCCACTCAAAGAACCTTGAAAAAATTAAGGTTATGCAGAGAGCTTGTGAGCCAACTCTTTAATCACCCAGGGAACTTCAAATACCAGTTTGGGACAATTAGTTGTACTGGGCTAAACTGGGATGGGTTAACCAGTTTGAGTGTGACTTTTTGTTTGCTTAATTTTGCTTAGACTTCCGCCTTCATCCCATTTCCCCACTCCTGGCTTCCCCCTCCCCTGTGCACCACTGGCAATACAGCAGCACCAATTGGTAAAAATGAGACTGTGATGTTGTTGTGAGCCTCCCCAGAGTGGAGCCCTGCCAATGCTTGCCACTGATCCAGCGGCATGAACCTGCTCAACTGTGCAAAGTCACTCTAATTCCCTCCCTCTGTTTTTCTACCTTCTCCCCCCAGGGGGCAACCACTGAAAGGAGTGACTACCCACCCATCAAGAGCTGGCAATTCGCTGCTATTAACCGTGACTGTGATTCCCAGTCTGCCTGGCAGTTCCTGAGCATAGGCCTGCAATGTCTCATCTGCAGTAAAAGCTATAAGATGCACCCTGGCCGGCACACTCGACCTGATGGATGTAGGATCCTCAGGAAAAGTAATGGATTGAGTGCACTAGTGATGGAAGCAGGGAGGGGAGGCGCAGACCCCCACAAGCGACCTGCTGATTTAACAGTCACTTTACATATAATTGAACTTTTCATTTACCTGAAAGACTGAAGGTGGCAGAAGAAACAGGGCAACAATGGTGGAAGGAAAAAGTTAATAAATGAGAGTTCTCCTTAAATAGGATCACAGCCACACAGTGTGGTTCTGAAGCTGTTACTATCTATACATCCAGTTCCGATTCAAAGATGCTTGGCGAATACGCCCTTGTGGAAAAGCACTGTTTGTTGGTTAAGAACCTAACATTTGGAGAGTTAACTTAATACAGTTAATGGCGTTTCTATGTGTAGGAAGGGGACAAGAGAATTCCTATAATGAAACTCTGGTGCCATTGAATCCACTGTACATGCCTCAGTTGGAAAAACACCTTCTGGAGAAACTCCTGTGCTAGCTACACATGATAGAGGGATCTGTAATTATAGAAGAATGCCTAATGTAGTACCAGTTTGCAATATTAACTTTGCCAGCCCCTGGATATAATGGAGGAACGGAAAAAAACTAGCACCGTCACCACAAACAAAAACCTCAACTTCTTTGAAATTAAAGTACTTTTGAACTGTACCTTATAGACTAGTAAATGGAAAACAAAATCAGAATACAAAAGCAAACAGTTCCACTGGGGCATTGAAGGTTTCAGTGATTGGAATGGATTTATCACAGATGTTATGAAAAAATAGTATCATTAAATAACTCTCTTTTATTGGGGAACAATATATCTTTAAATTATGTGCCATGTAATCTACTAAATGCTTAATTATATAACTTATATAAGATCATTTTGTTTGTTGTAATTTTTCATCCAAATTATCAACCATTTATGTGTATAATAGAAGTCAAGGCAAGAGCAAATAATCTTAGGTTGCTGTAAGTTACCAGAGGTAGATAGACCTGTTCAACTGAAAGGCATGATTCTGTGTCTTACATCACATGAGGATATGCTTTCAGACTGCAGGTAGGAGCAGATAGATCATATTGATATGATCTGGTTAGATATAGAGGAAAGGACTTGGTAAAGTGGTGGTTGGGATAAAAACAATAGAATTAAATCCCTGCTTTAATACATGTACTGCGTTTAAAATGTGTTTCATGAACTTCAAAGGGAGATCAATGCCTGGCTCAAATACGTTCATTATTTGGCAAGGCCAGCTTCACTGAAACATTCCCAGTGGTAATTTTCAACACTGACCTAGATGGACCATCTATGCGGATGGAAAGAGAATCTAGAATCATTGTCCTCTTTGCCCAAACAGCCAGTGTTTGCCATCTGTCCTCTAAGAACTGGACTGAGACCACCAACACATAAACCACTGAACAGCTAGCAAATGGTAACAATGTCCAGCCTCTGCCAACAATGACATGATTCAAAGAGCAAACATAGCAGCAGGGAAAGACTCCACAGAACCAAGATAAACCCTTAGTCCACCTAGGCCTTCCCTGGAAACCTGATGAAAAGGACAGGAGTTAGAGAACCACCTATAACAGCAAAGTAAAGGAAGTCCCACCTGCAATTGTTGGCTGTGTGTTTTCTACAAAAGGGCAGTGCTTTGACGCCATTATCTGTGGCCTTAGTGAGTAAAGGCATATCCCCAATCTTTTGCACTTTTATATTTATAGCCTCATATACTCAATTTATTATGACATTTTACTTGGAATATTTTGTCTCTAAGGCTTGTGTTATTCAATTTTTCAAGCTAATATCAGTACCATTTAATTCTAAATAAAGTTTAAAACTCTATTTTATGAAACTGAATCACATAGAAAGTAAAAATATGATCAAGTACTTGTGAAGTCCTATTTTTGTTTTTGTTAAATGGCGTAGAGTTGGCTCCGACTCATAGTGACCCTGTACAGGGTTTCTGAGGAGCAGCTGGTGAATTTGAACCAAAAACCTCATGGTTCAAAACAACTTTGGGGTCGAGTGCTTATCCTTATGGCACCACACCAGGACTAGTATAGGACAGAAAAAAACAACACATGAATTAAAACTTATTTGACTAGTTTTTTCTTACCATTATCTCCAATGACTCTCAAAACAGTCCTGTGGTAGGTGTAAGTCTCCATCTCACAGAGAAAGTTCTTATAGTAATTTAAGTGGCAATGTTCCGACCTAGGCCCATGCTCTATTAAGTGTTTTATTGTGAACCGGATGAAGGTTTACAGAGTAAATCATTGGTTTCAGATTCAACAATTTCATACACATCTTGTTTCATGTCATTGACTGCAATCCCTACAAGGTAGCAACAGTTCTCCGACTTCCTCCCTGTGTTTCCTGTTTTCATTCGTCCTTCTCTCCGAAACCTTCGGAACTTTGTTTTTGGGTAAATGTTGCCCTTTTGACTTCAAATGATTGACTATTTGAAGATGGACTACCTCATTAGTGTTACTGTTTCCTTTACGTTGTTGTTGCTGTTGTTATGTGCCGTGGAGTCGGTTCCAACTCATAGCGACCCTGTACAGGATTTCCAAGGCTGCAAATCTTTATGGGAGCAGAAAGCCTCATTGTTTTCCTGTGGAACAGCTGGTAGTTTCGAACTGCTGACCTTGATGTTAGAAGCTTGATTCATAACCACTACGCTACCAGAGCGCCTATCACATATTTGATATGCCTATTCAAAAGATTGGCATTAGGATCATATAAAATAGTGAGAAGTTCTTTATAAAGTCTATAGCAAATTGTTATTAATCAAGCTTTAGATACTGACAATAAAATATGGGCTTTATTTCACATGGCAAACCCGATTAAATGGCTAAAAAAGCAAAATAATATTTTTATTAAGATTATTATTGAGATTATATATATATAATCTTAATATAATAGTAATTAAGAGCACTTTCCTACCCTATTGTTATCTTAATTATTTGTTCTTAGAAAATTATCACTTCAATTAAACTGGCTATTTTTTGAGTCTTATTATAAGAAATTAGGCATTTGGCCATTAGCTACAACTTTGAATATTTCTGGATCCAAATAAAATGACCTAATAGAGATTGCTCTATATTTCTTATTTCTCAAGAATAATATAAATGAGAAAATTCACCACATACTTTACTTTGATGTAAAGGCAATGCCAGCTTTTCAATTATTGCTAGAAAGCAACACATAGGAATAATTGTTGTTGAAAAGCTTCCATTCATTTTACAATTACAATAGTAGCAATGATAATAATGACAGATTATAATGAATGTGTATTAGATTTTGAACCCCTACTTTTCATGCTATTAATTCGAAGAGTGAAATTCAATTTAAAAACACCATGGGATAAAAACTTAAGTTATGGACGGTCATTGTTATGTACCATCAAGTCAGTTTTGATTCGTAGCAGGGATTGTTGCTGTTATGTGCCGTCGAGTCGATTCCGACCCATAGTGACCCTGTATAGTCGATTCTAACCCATAGTGATCCTGTATAGGGTTTCCAAGAAACAGCTGGTGAGCTTGAACCGCCAACCTTGCAGTTCAAACAACTTTGCAGTCTGGTGCATTAATCCACAGCGCCACAGGGATAGGGAACCTTTTTTTCTGCCAAAATTTATAACATCATTCGCAGGTCATACAAAATTATCAACTTAAAATTTAACTCACCACTAATGTGATGGCTGGAACTGTGGTTGCCTTAACAGGGCCAAACCAAATGATTTTGTGTGCTTTATACGGCCTCTGGGCCAGATATTACCCACCACTACTGTACAGGGTTTCCAAGAGAAGCTGGTGGGTTTGAACTGCCAACCTTGCAGTTAGCAATCCAGTCTTGTCCTACAGCATCACACCAGGAGAATCTGAAGTGAACTGCTGAAGAAGGTTTCAAATATTCCTTACTAAACAATTCCAACAGAGCTTTTCAAGTTTAATTTTCAAATAAACAAAATCTGCAAATGTAGCCCTATTGCAAGAATTGTTGCCAATTGCTGTGGAATTGGTTCTGACTCATAGCAACATGACACACATTTTAG